ACTTTCCCAGCTATTTCTCTACCAAGAGCATCTAGAGTACCACTCTGCGTGACTATTAACACTAGTAGAGTCCAGGGATTTTAATTTTCAAAAGAGAAATTACTCTAAATCTCTGCTTTTCTGGAATCACGAGGGTTAGGTCTGGGTTAGGTCTGAGGAAAAAACTTTCCAAGCTACTTCCCTACCAAGAGCATCTAGAGTACCACTATGTACCTCTATCAACACCGGCAGAGTCCAAGAATTTTAATTTCCAAAAGAGAAATTACTCTTACTTTATATTTTCTTTTTTAGAATCACAAGGGTCAGGTCTGAGAAAGAGAGCTTTCCCAGCTACTTCGCACGGTCATTTCGCGTGCCATCGTCTCCCGCGAGCGTTATCGGTACCCGCCACTTGTTCACCAAGATACAAACAACAGTTCCGTGAAACGATTCGATCGTCCTACCCTATCGTGACCACCCGAAGCTTGGCCAGTAATGGGGAATATATTTGATCCCTCGTAATCGCACACTGGTACTCACCACCGATATGGGTCGAAGCCACGAAAAGAATTGGAAAAAACTCGGGTAGGAGGCTGGCGTCGGATTAAAAAACACCGAAGAAGCACTCTACACCGCACTAATACTGGATTCGAATGGCTGTTCTCGCGTCGTGACCGTCCTAGTCATAGCCAGGGGTTTGCACACGGCACGTGTGCATAGGAACGTCAGTCCTGTTGACGACAACGTCGCGGCGGCAGAGGGAGTACTAGACGTCTTCCACCAGCGGGGGTGTTACACTATTCTCGTGTGATATCTCGCGATAGAAAACGGCTACGAGTCGGTGGAGTACCCGCACGTCGTTCGCTAGCGTAATCGAGGAAGCTTTCCAAAATTTCGCTAATCAAAAAACCTCGTCGTTTCTTTCGTTTAATAATATATTATTCGTTAATTGATCGACCAGTACTCAATTTTCGTTTCGAAGCATGATATTTAATTTCCCTTATGCTTCGTTTTCTTTACAAGTATATTATTTATCACATTATTGATTTACATTAAAAATTCACTTGTTTAATTTATTTTTCGCCCGACTAAATGAAACTAAATCAAGACGATAAACTTAATACTTATAATTAAACTTACTAAACGAACGGATGAGTAATTACCATCGACAAACGTCGTTCAATAAAATATATTTTTAAATAAAATATACACGCGAGTAACGACACCGATAATGGAAGTAATATAACAAATAAAGAACGAACGAAATGTGTTTAAATACACCTGTTGATCAATTTTTATCGGTCGTAAATCGTTACCGATCGAGACGAATTATCCCTTTTCTCGTTTTATAAACATTTTATCGCCTCGTTTGTTGCGATAACTTCCCTTAAATATGCAAATTTCGCTGGAAATTCTGTGTTTTCATTGCGATTAAAACGCTCCCGATCAATAATCCACCTGTTTTACGGGAAACACGTAACGCGAGCGTAATTTTGATATTTCAAGCGTCGCGACCATGCTCTGTCGATACCGCCGTTGAGTCATAGCAAACGCGACGATAGTTCGGTATTCGTTTACATCGCGCCGCAGAGAGAAGAGTGTGTTTTCTGAGCGATGAACCACCGAAGAACAGGACAGAAATAAATTTATTACTCACGCATTTTGGACTAACTCCCGGTGCTTAATGGCATCCGTAGACAGAGGCAACGCGATACCATAATAATTTTTCGATTAACACCTTGATAACTGGCAGAAGCTCAATTCCGTTCGTTGCGATACTTTCTTCCCTGATCAATAAATAGTAATGAGGTGCGTTTCACTTCATCTCATTTCTCTCATCGTTAAATTAAAATATTGTTCTCGGTTTTTTCTCGAATTTCGATATTCGTGGATCATATATTATAATGCGAATTCGACATTTGAAGGTACGTTCTCTAAATGAGATTGAATAGATCGAGCAATTTATTGGTTAGGAAAATTTTGAATTGGACGTAGTCGATGACGCCATCTTGTACACGTGGTGTGGCACTAATGGACGCAAAATTCGACGTTTGACGAATTCAAAATTGAAGGTTATGTTAAACGAAATTACATTTGGTTAAATTATGAATATAAATGCTGTAACAAATTCCATAACAAAATTGTAACAAATCTAGTGTTGGTCACTCTTAAGTGCAGAATGACGCCATCTTGTCACGTGGTGTGGCACTAATGGCCGCAAAATTCA